AAGTTGAAATTTTGAAATGGGCCAAGGGGTAATTGGACCGTTTTAGAATGGGCCAAATTTTGATTTGGTCCAGAACACATATTTCTCTTAGTTTATTTCATCGGTTATTACTAATGACACATAATACTTTAATCTTTTTGCTTCTTATACAGTCGTCCCTCGTATAAAAGCCCTTCCTACTGTAACCAACCTTTGGATATATCGGCAGCTTTGGGTTTGGACAGTATATGGCAGTATAAATTTCAAAATCCATTTCTATGATCATACTTCAGTTATATTCCCATGTCGATGTCTATTATTATTATCAGATTACATGTATATTCTCTCCAAAAGTCTCCGTCTCAAAGGGTGTAAACGAGGACGATGTAATGACATGATTATCCCGCTTGCGACAGTTTTGATTCAGCAAGATAATAATAATGAGAAAAATGTAGCGAAAGAATGACAAAAAAATGGTCTACCTCATTCGTGGTAAGTATATAAGATTTTCCCATAGAGACCTAAACAGCAAATGTTATACTTACTGCATATTTTAGTTGAAGTTAGTACTGAAAATATACTTCATGTGAATTTCTCATAAACATTAATTAAATAATCATGATGGCGTAATGTTTGTTTATACACGTAAGCTGAACTTTTTTTTCCGCATAACTATTTACATCAACCTTTGATCAGTCGAACATTTGCATTTCGAGATGGATGACATAGTTGATGTTGTTGATTTATCTTCAGGTCTTTTGTCTGACTTTGGCAAATTGTATAAAAGTAACAGACATACAGATATTTCAATTAACGTCGGAAGAGAGCCGAACAATAAACTATTTTGTGCCCATGCGGTAGTACTATTTGCGAGAAGCGTGTACTTTGAAAGAAAATTAGCCGGAAATACAGAATTAACTAATGCGATAGTATTTGAGGATGTCGCACCTGCATGTTTTGAAATTTGCCTTAGGTGAAGTTTCTTAGATAGAGTTATGACTATTAATCATATTAGATATTTTTAATTAGCAACAACATCACACCACAAGCAATAATTACTCACCAGGACTCTTATCGTAACTCGTTGATACCATAGATTTATGTACACGGGAAAGGTGACGTATTCTTCCAGCGAGATTATTGATTGGATTGGCTTTTTCGACATCGCATGCACATTCGAATTGGATGATCTTGTTATCGCTGTCGGGGATTATTTGATTGGTCAACGGAAGGAATGGATACAAGACAATGTTATTGCAGTTCATAAACATGCTTCATCCTCAAAGCTTTTAGAGAAGCTTTTGGATTGTTGCAATCAAATAATGCTGTCAACGCCGAAATTTATTTTCAAATCTGATGATTTAAAGAGTCTATCAAAAGAGACTTTGATTACTCTTCTCAAACATAATAAGCTTAATATGGAAGAAATTGATATATGGTTATCAGTGATAAAATGGGCCGCTATACAGGTTCCAGGGCTTGTAAACGAACCAGATGGTTGGACATCTGATGATGCTGAAAAAGTTAGCGCAATTATGTCAGACTGTATTCCTCATATAAGATTCTGCAATATTTTAAACGATGACTTTCTCGACAAAGTTGTTCCATACGATGACTTACTATCGAAACAGTTACGCCGAGAGTTAATTCGATATCGGTGGAAGAAAGATTATAAACCAAACTTTGCAGTTTTACCACCAAGGGAAGGTCAGAGTGTAAATGTGTCTAATGAAGTGTGCAAATCTCTTGATAATCCAGGTATTGACTAAATAGACAACAAGCAACATGGATTTTACAGATGATTATGGAATCGACTAAGTCGAGAAGAGTAAAAAAACACTCCAAATTAACAATAGTTTTTATAAACTGACTCTATTGTATAGACATAGTACAGTCTGAAATGTGCTGAAAGGGGACTGACAGTAGCTGTTGGCAAAGTGTTAGGTACGGAAGAAATACTTCGTGGGTATAATCCATTGGCTTGGAAAAATCTGGCTATAGCCTGACTCCTTCAGTTACTGCCATATGGTCTCGGACTTCAGAAAAGTTTTATATTTTCATTAGCCAAAAGTCAATCAAGGGAAAACATAGTGAGTCATGTTGTCGACAGTAATATTCCATTGTGGAACATTCATTTTTATTTTCTTATCCGTGTTTTGGTGTTGGAGCTGATTTATATTTTGGTAATACCACTAATAATGATCCTCTCGCTAATACTAAGAAAAGCTCATACAAAACGGCAATAAGGTCTGATTCCAAAAGATTTAAATGGGCAGACTGGGAAATTATTTTTAGTTTCAAAGTGTACAATTTAAATTCATTGATTATACAATAGTGAACACATAATAATCTTACTAAAGGTCAGAATGCGTGATATAATTTGCTAACTACTCTATTCTTTAAAAAACGAAAATTTAGCTATATGCTATTAGCTTTCATTGTAAATCAACCTGACAATATAGTGTTTTCTCACTTGAACGACTTTTGCGAAAACTTAATATCATATCAATAACATTCACTGATCCCAAACACCATGAGTTTTTTCAATGAATTCTTTCTACTTAATACCATAACCTTACTTACTGTACTTCGATCTAGATAATAGTAATTGATTTTTTTTTGTTGAAATATGCATATAATAATTGAACATCTTTCAAAGCTGGTGAGAAACGTTAGCAGTCGAAGAACCGTAGATAAACTTTTATTTACTCAACGTGAGTCGTAACCAGGTGAGACGTTATCCGTTTGTGATTACGTCTTCAATTTGTTAAGTCTGATGATTGTTAAGACATTTCATAGTACTAACAAGATACCACTAAGTAGTATTAGTAATTGTACTCTTTATAGAACCAGACGTAATATTTTTCCTCTAACCAAATTGATTACGGTTTAACTGGAGTAGTCTAGTTGTACTCAACCGGAAACTTCTGAGCGATCAGCGGATAAAAAGAAAACATATATGTGTACTTCCTGATTTTTGAATTTTTATATAAATTCTTGAGTATAGCTTTAACCACGAATTTGCCTGAATATAAAGGTGAGAGGAGACAATTGCGACACAGTTATCAGTCTACTCCCATACATTTTCTTGTCTCTACATTAATATTGCCTAAAAAAAACTTCTCTTTTACTTTCCTCAATCCAGAACATACTGTATACATATCTTTGAAATATTTCAACCCTCTTCCAGTTTAGTATACTAATACTTCTCGAGAGACACTCCACTAGAACGAGATCTTATGTAATTTATTACGTTAAGACGCGTCTTGTTGTTTCTCTATAAAGTTGTTTACTCCATTTGAATTTAAAAAATTTTCAGTCATGGTAATGGTGTTGGAAATTGATCTATCTTTTGGTAACACCACTAATAATAATTCTCTTACTAGAAAAAGTATCAAGCAGTAATAAGGTCTAATTTAGATTTTATAAACAATTGTTGATTACTGTAACTTAGTTTATAAATTTTACAATAAAAAATTATTAAACAGCTTGGTATGTCAACCACACACGCAATTCAAGCATTAACCCTAAAATTTATAATTAAATGTAGTTTTCAATGTGTGTTGCTATTAAATTTTGCTATTATAATTTTATAATTGCAAATTATACCCAAAAATTGCATGATAAAAATAATAAAGCATTTTAAACTTTGTACGCTGACAAAATTTTGACCAGTAACTTTATTTTTAACTATAGGTTTTACAAAGTTACCTATCAGCTTAAAACAAAACACATGGCGTGTTCTGAATACTTTAGCTTTTGTATACAATTACGATACACTCAAAACCGATTATACCTTTAATTGCTCGAAGCATAGTATGTGAAAGAGTGTTTGGGCAAAGTGGCATAGAAAGTTAATTACGATTATTGCACATTTTGTCACGCGTTTACTGTATATTATTTTGTTTTCTTTTTGCCGGAAGATATTGAGGTTTAATTAATATACCATCAAGTTTATTGTCAATTACAGCTCGCACAAATCGAAACATTACACATAATTTTGGCTATAGATGGCTTGCACCGTACAATGAAAAAATTAACCTAATTACGCTAATTTATTTTTACGAATTGCGTCATTGACTTTAATTGATACGAATCGAGCATAAATCTGTATTTGTTCCGTAGTCTGAAAAAAATTACGTTTTAATAATATTATTTGTGTAACATAAATTTATGTTGTAAATCTTACCATATTCGCAAAAACTTGTCTGTCAATGGCATTATTTACCAAATCAGTCTCTTTACAGTCTGGTTCTTGCAACTGCTCGTTATCAGCAACGTTTCCTGTCTCCAATGCCATGACAGGTTCACGTCCCATAAAGTCTAATTCAGTAATAGTCCTAGCCTTCCGACCGCGTTTCGGTTGCTTTAATTTTTGTGAGTAATTTTAACAAAACTTGTAAGATATAGTCTGTGAGCTGGCTTGCGCTCTCGTATTGATAACTGTCGCATAAAAACTGTCTTACCGTAGTGACCGACCCATTTCTGTTATCGTTGTTTTTTGTAGTCAAGTGGATGTCATTTTTATTGCAGCTTTCGGCGTGGGTCAACGAACTTTCCAACCTGTTTGTTACGGGAAAATTGTCTTTTTTGCTGTTTTTTTTGTCTTTATTATCTTCTTTTTCAACTACCATGACTGTCTTCTTTCTTTTAAATGCAAATTTTTACAAGAATTTTGTTGACTAACGTTCTGGTTTACTGCAATATAAGCAACGGTAGTAACGATGTTCCAACGTAACGTAACAAATTGTTCGGATGATTGCCTTTATAAGCTAAATAATCACCGAATACGAAATAGATGTAATTTTCGTAGATTAAGATGTGATTTCTCCTAATCATCACCATTGTACTAACACATGACCTGGTACGAAACAAAAAATAGTTAGAACAAGCACAAAATTAGATAACACAAACAAGTCAAGCAATAAACAATTAGATAAAACATGAAAGTTTACAGCGCAAAATATTTTTAGATAACAGATAGTTACACCACCTAGCAAACAAATTTTCTACCAAAATAAAAATCTTTTGAACAACATTTTCCTAAATAGCAATTATTGAAATATAGTTGTTGACTATTGTTTTTATAATTTCAAAGAAAACTTACATATTACCGATTTTATAGACGTTTAGCAGCAAACCAGAATCTATTATATTTGAACTTTAATGTTGAGTTGCCACAACAAGTTATCGGTTATGGTATACGTTTTGTTAAGAAATTTTGAACAACTATATTAGAAGTGTTTTGTATTAAAATGTAAACAATTACTGATACATTGGGCAAAAGGCTTGAAACAAGCTTTATGAAACAGGCGATTAATTTTATTATATGTTCAAACGAAAGATTATAAATAACGACGACGTTATAATTGTCTAAATACTCAGTCATTATACGTACAAATCCTGTACATTATTTTGAAGTTTATTTTAATATCGGAACTGGTTTAGTAATTTGTCTTTTGTAACGCAACGTAAATAAAACGAACAATACTTAATTCTTTGTTTAAATGACACAATTTATTACACAACTGTAAGAATTCTAGAATTAGAGGAAGAAAGACATAGAAAAAGATGTAAAACCCTTTATCTATGTAAAGTTCAGGGGTGACGATTTAATTGATCAAAGCTTTGATTCTTTATTTATATGTAAAGACAAGCTATTTCTCCTTTCAATTAATTCTGCATTAGGACGACTGGTTGCACCTTCTTTAATGGCGCTCTCACTAAATTGATAAGTAAACTAAGTTTCTATTCGGTGCCGTCTCATAGAACTATTTATGTCACATGCCCACGGAGAATGCCGAATGACCGCGAATTCTTTTATTTCATTGAAGATATAAAATATAATAAATTTTCAAAAGATATCAACCATGTCTTTAACAGATATCAAATTGAAAGACATGCATGCCTTTCGGAAACCATTTCATAACCTTCAGCCTAATCTTAACTTAAGCATCGCATTTCGGACGGCCCTCTGTATTTATTTCAAGCATGTGTTAATATTTGTTACACAGCTCATGATATGACGCTGCTGAAAATGTCATGTCGTTATTCTTCAGCAACTGTACAAAAGACTGCAATCATCATCGATCTCTGCATGTAATAATGGTTTCTTGTTTCTTTTCCTGCAATAGGGAAAGTAATGTCTTGTGATTATTCTAACACGCACGCTCGCTTTCACAGATGCTTATCTAATGATTATCGAAGGGGGTAGAGACTCCCTGAAGACACAAAACGAGGAAAGGAAATGATTGACAAATCTAATCTGTGGTGGAAATCAATAGTGCCCGGAGAACTATTGTTCTATTCAACCTGTTTTTTACCCGCTCAAACTTACGTACGAGTCGTTCGATAAATCTGTTGTAACATTACTTTGAACTCTATTCATATGTTCAAGCAATGATGTGATGCTCTACGCCCAATCCTTTTTGAGATTATATTCGACGAGAAAATCAACAACGCCCCCAAGTCTCGTTTTAAATGGAGTTTAGTATTAGAGGCACCGAACTTCTCGTTGTTTATCTGTGGCGCAGACAGTACAGTTTTATACGTGCCATTTTTTCATTGGCTGTATCTCCCGTTGCACAGTATAGCACCACGGATATAATATTACCCGTATCACAGTCTAACTTTTCACAATTGAGATCCCATGCCAACTTGTTAACTCGATAAGCGTATATTTGTGACATCTTGGCGGAGCCGAGGCGCAATTTTAGTTGTGATCAAAAATACAATCGGTTTTCAAATAGCATTATCAATGCTTGAAAGAAAATTTGGGCTTGGTACGAATATAATTCAGGTAAAAAAGCAAGCAATTTGTTGGATATAGACTGTGTCTTTAGCGAATGTAGCGATGGCGGTTTTTACGGGGCCTGTAACAGTGACTATATTGCTAATAAAGTGTGTGTAATTGGTAAACAAAGTTTTAATCGACTCTGATTTTGTAATCTGGTTAACCAATCAACGTCAGAACGTCGTGTGAAAAGCACTGGAATGTTGATGACTTACTGGTTGTGACGTAATTGTTTGCCTAGCTAGTCACTAACGGTAATTGTAAAAAAGGAATAGCTTGGCGCTTTTTGTGAATACTTTGTCCGCTTCGGCGCGCCATAGAAAATGCAACAGCCAATATAGTGTTGCTTATAAGCCACACCTCGTTTCATAGTCTTTGGAGTATAGCAAATTAACACTTTTTGTTCAAAGTAAAAGGGCATGACGCAAAGTTGAACTCTGTTTGTCGCAGTCGAGGAATAGATGGAGCGTCGAGCTAACGCACTGAGTTTATCGAATAGTTTATCTCACAGATACAGTACAAGTTTATGATATTATCGTAGAAGTATCTCTTGTTCAGACATGTGCTGCGTACTTGCGAAAGATAAAATCAGGCGAGTATTAAAAATAAACCAATTGCATGTCAAACAATATACCAAAAAAATTTTATTATCCTGACAAGATACTATTCAATTATGCATGTGTTTGCAAATGCTTGGAATCTGAACGTAAAACGCGCCGACATTCGATTAAACTACAAGACACTTAACGCGCCAACATTGGTAAAGTTCACCATGCACGCTCGATAAGCATTTGTCTAATAATGCTATCTACAATTCATATATGTCTTTTTTTAAAAAAAAAGTAACAAGTCGTAGAAAATAATTTACTATAGATACGGCGTATTCTAAATTATATTTATAGAGATTTGTTGTATGTTAAATCGGAATTTATGTCAGATCAGAATCTATGTCCATTCCGAACTGACATATGTCAGATTGGAATATTAAAGACTATCGGGTAAAAACTTTATAAAGTTTTTATTGACATCACGATATCAACTCTGGATTGTTGTAAATTATGCTCTTTTAACATTGGTAAGTTTTGGCATCAAAAATAATAATCTATATAAGCGCAAGT